AAGAAAGAAATAGAAAGAAATAGAAGAGATGATGTAATTATAATGAGACTAAGAGTGGGGCATTCTTATCTAAATGACTTTTTATTTTTAATAGGAAAAAGGAATGACGATAATTGTGAGAGAAAGAAAATGTGGAACACGTCCTGATGATGTTGCTGAAAGAGAGAGGATGAGGGAAAAAGTAAGAAAGAGTGGAGTTTAAAGGGATATTGGGAACAGAAGGGAATAAGGAGAAATTGAGAAAATAAGGAAAGCATTGTTTTTTATTTTTACATAATACAAAATTAAAATATAGGATTTAGGTGGAGCTATGAGGTTACACACTCATGCCCAGTAGGTGGCGGTATGCACCTAAAAGTTGTTTGCGATCCGCCATTAATTCAAACGAAGAAGAAGAAGGAAACGTTGTAGTTACGGCGAAGCTTCCGCTAGCTGTTTTTTTTCACTCTGTGTTAGTTCAGTTAAATCTTACACGTTCTTAAAGARACTCACTGTGTTTCTGTGAAGGATGGAGACTATTTTAGAACAGCAGCGTCGCTATCACGAGGAGAAAGAGAGGCTAATGGACGCCAAAACCAAAGAAATGTTGCATAAGAAGTCCACGGTAAGCGGTGCCGCCGTAGCTTAGCTTTAGCATTATGCTAATCGTGTGCGTTCACGCTAACTCAGAAAACATTTAAAGTAACTTTTCTTTTTTTTCCCCGTTTTTTTGTTCCAGCTGCGGGATCAAATTAATTCTGATCATCGAATCAGAGCCATGTTGGATGTGAGTATCAGTTTCATGTGTGCAGAAGGACTAATTGAACATTTGTCTTGTTTCTGCCCTGGATTAAACTTGTCTTGTACTGAGTTTTTTTTTCTCTAAACGTTTTTAAAATAATGTGTAAAAATTTTTGTCAGTCTTAAAAACTAAAAAYGAAAACCTTAAAAACGCTACAGTTTTTATGGTTCTTAAAGAGTTTATTATCTCATCTGTTCATTTATTGTCTTGGAACTTCAGATATTAATTTTACTCTGAGTATAATGTTTGTTTATTAGCAAACCAAAGCTTTTTTTTTTATTATTATTATCTCATGGATTTAATGG